TGGGAAGCAAACGAATAGGGCCGACCCTGTGGAATCCAGGGAATAAATTCGTAGTTCAGTCCGAAACAGCTCCTAGCGAGCCTGAACGGCTCTGAATGGCGCATATCTGTCTCCCTTTGAATGCGGAAAACCCATTAGTATGCGAAGCAAGTATTGACCCAGCATGCGTTTATTTATTAGGTGATTATTGCATTTTCAGTTACGTGACGTCATCGGGTCTCGGACTAATATCCAATTGGTGTTCGATTTCATGGAAACAGATCTTGAGGCAACACTTTTAATTTGTTTCTGATTTAATGTTAAATGTAGTTCGGGGGTGCAACGCGGCCTTCCGTCATGTTTTGCTTGCCTTGTCATCCGCAGGTCTTGGAAGGGGCAAGTGCGCCACTTCCTTGTTTGCGTGACACTCCCTAACTGCCTCTGCACTAAATCCCCTGAAGCTGACCTCTATAATGGTCGGCGTTGTTCAGCATGTCGTCAAAGACCGCGACATCATTCTCATGCCTCCACACATCAAAAATATGGCAATGCAGACGTTATTGGGCTTGGAATTTCTCCATGCTCATTGGATTCTGCACAGGGTATGTCAGACCTTACTACTTGTTCTTTTTTGCAGAATGTGTATGTCGCTAATGTGCTGCAGTCTAGGACTTGAAACCCAATAACCTGCTGATGAACAGTGCTGGCAGGATAAAATTAGCGGATTTTGGTTTGGCTCGATTTTTCGGATCACCGAATAAGGTGTACACGCATCAGGTAAGCGCAGGAACTCCTGCAAAGAAAAATGAAAGCTAGTGAAAGACTCATGCGGGGGTCAGGGTAGAGTGCCGTATCTTTCAACAAGAGCCCTTCCTGTTTTATCGAGCGAGCTTTGCTGCGGCTGAATGGTGGTCGTCTTTGTTTCACATTGTCACTTTCTGGGCGGGTTCTACCGGGTTTGATAAAGTCCATGAAGTGGGGCGCACTCCACAAGCCTAAGTTCAGCATGCTCTGTCCTATAAATATTCTGATCCTATCGTTTAGGTGGTCACTCGTTGGTATCGTGCCCCAGAGCTGATTTGGGGGGCAAGAGCATATGGAACTGGTGTGGACATGTGGGCGATGGGCTGCATCATTGCCGAACTACTTCTTCGCGTAGGTATTTATGGTGCTTTGGATGAAACGTCATCGTCATAATAGAGTGAGCTAACGTGAAAATTTATAGCGTTGGACGACTCGTTCCTACGGTCTCTCTAATGAGAACTTTTAGGCAACGCATCCCGTTATTCTTCACTGATTCATTTTCGTTCCGAATTTCAGGCCTAGAGGAAGGAGTAGGCGCCTTGGGCGCAGTCGTCACTCTCAGTGGGGCGTATGAGGTGAGGCGGCGTGGATCTGTGCTACGCTTCCGGCTGCCGCAGGCAGGGTGCCGATTAGTATCATTATTACGGTGGGGCGTATGAGGCGGCGTGGATTGGAGTGCATGCAGGATGGAACTTCCCACTAATGGGACTATCCTGTGAAGGCAACGATTGGAGGGAATGGCTGGCCTGGCTGCGCTCTAATTATATTCGAAATCCCTGAGATCGGGTAGACGTGGTTGCATGCTCCAACTTACCCTGAACGTGTCTATGCTTCTGGTGAGATATTTTCATCTTGACACAATTGTTGTCGTGTCTCTGTCCAACACAGAACAAGATGACAGTTGTCCCAGACTGGAATATTCCACGAGTAACTAATTTCTTACCATGTTCTAATGCCACGCCTACTCTGGATCAGGGATAAGGAGTGTAACTCCCCTTCACACACGCTATCGTTTGCAAGGATCATTGCAATACCGCTTGAATACTCTCGTGAAAGGAAGCCCGTTCAAAAGACAGCGACATGAGGAATTTCGCACTAAACTCGAAATGACAGAATTGGATAGTACCGCAGCAATTGGGTAGACGAAAGAAATGGTTTGGAGTTTATGAGATGAAGCCTTCTATCAGGGAGGGGCACAGTTGCGTTGATCCCAGCTTTTTTCCCCACTGTGAAAAATCACAGATTGTCTCCTTGAGCGGAACCCGACCACACTGAAGCAACTACTTGCCACTTGTGCTGCCTCTGTAGCTTCCTTGTTCGATGCATTTCAGTTTTCGCTTGCAGGTACCGCTGTTCCCAGGTGAATCCGATTTGGACCAACTGGTGAAAATCACCCACGTGCTCGGATCGCCCACCGTAGAAGATTGGCCGGCGATGAAGAACCTCTCGGATTATATCGCTGTGAAGTTAGTGCGATTCTTACAAATCTCAAAATTACTCGTTCAATACTTTTTATTCAGAGAAAAGGTTGGAATCAACCTCCGGCATGTGTTTACGGCTGCCGGTGAAGATCTAATCGACCTGTTGCTAGGCTGCTTCGCCTACGATCCCTTAAAACGTCTCACTGCCTCAGAAGCGCTTCAATGCCCGTATTTCAGGTCTGTTGAGTTTTTGCTAGTGAGGCAGCGTTCCAAGGGGCCTTTCTATTTCGGAACCAATGCTATGCCTCATACTTATTTGCGACCAACTGTCCTATATGTCCTATATGTTTGCAAAGCATATGTAACGAGGAAGTCAATAGGAATCCCACGTGGGGCTGGAACACCCGGACTATGGATAGTAATAGTGGTCGCAACACAAATGGACAGGTTAGGAAAAACCACGTTAGACGCGTGAGTGCTAGAAGGCAATGGCACAAATAACCGTTGAGCTGACCATGAGAGGGTAAGAGTGGCCCTGCTCGCGTAATGGTCGCGGCACGGAAAGCTAGAAAGCGAGTTCGAGTCCCATCCTTGGTCTGACTTTTGCCCATAACTCAGCTTTCTTGTGATAACTTACGGAAAAATTCCAGTAAAGTAAAAATCATTGTGACATGTGACAGACTTGTGACAGAAGTGCTGCCAAAAATAATGGCGGCAACCTCACCTCAAAGAAAGCTTCTTGCAAACATGTAGGAAAAACCTATGAGGTTTCTTCTGATCCTGGCAGAGAACGCAATGTTGAGGACAATTGTATTGACCGATTTGGGAAGGACAGAGTGTTGTCCACGACATTTGAGTGTCGACTGATTGCGTTTTGTGCAGCTGCCCTTTCAGTTAAACGAATTTCCGTTACTACGCTGAGCATTTAAGCACAACAGGGCAACGCGTAAGGTCTAAATTTAGAAGAAAAAAACTCGAGTGAAAAATAATTCGAGCGATTCGACTCAGATGCAAATTGACCAGGTGAACCATCTTTTTTGCCAAATTGGAAAACCCTTGTTTGAGTATCCTACCGCTCCTTCCCAGTGAATGGATATCATATTCAAGACAATACATCCAAGTTGGCAGGGCGATACGCTGGAACTTTCAGAGCTGCTCAGGCAGGGATCTCCATCTAAGTTGACCACGAGTTTACTGAGGCGCATTACGGCTGGAATTTAATTAATCGGGAGGAGCTAGTTTCGCGCTGCTTCGCCGCGGCCAGCCGTCCGTCGTTGGATTCTCGCTTAACTAAAACTCTCTTATATCGATCGTTCGTGAACTTAGGGCCAATACGCAGGGAACATGAAGCCATGGGCATTAGTTGTGAAGCTTGCTCTTTAAGGAAGGGTCGTTTTTGGCTCCCTGGAAAACAGGGTCGTACCGACCGAGCTATATCCCTCGACGTCATCCTCGCCCTGCAGACCGCTGTGAGCGCTGTGGAATGAGAAGCTGCTGAGACCAAGTCATCAGTATTGCAAATTTTGGGTTGGCCCATAAGGAATGGCATTTTGTAACATGTAATTTTTGGATGAAGCATCTGACGATACCTTTTAGGTTGTTGTAGGGAATTATTTGCTCTATAAGAAGTTATGCTGAGCTTTTCAAAGTTCAACTCTAGTTTGTTCTGGCAAATACGTCAAATAGAAAGAATTAAATTTATCAGAGATTCAGCCATTTCCAACGCCCTTCTCCTTTTCACATTCATCAAGGACGCAGAGACCTCTTGAATCAAATCTCGAGGAGGATGAGTAGGTCTGTGCGGCCTCAAAGAATCCAAAAATTTCACTTCCAACCTCACATATGACCAAATGAAGAGGCATCCCACTTTGGCGATTCAAAAGTTGGGAAAAAAAGTCAAGCAGTAATAGGAAGAGTGGCGCACATTATCTTGCGGAAGTGCACTCTCACAGAATTTGGCACTGTTGGGCTCAAAGGGTTGCACTTTCGCTAGTTCCTTTTGCTTACTCAAAGATAGTATCTATCCGAAAGCTGCAGCTGCAAAGTGGCTTGCCTGCGAGGTGCAGGTTGCAGAATTTCACAAGTCTTCACAAGAAAACTTGTACTAAATTAGCTGAGTATTAGAGTATTATCCCCTACAAAGCCAAAAAGCGCAAAATTCCTGTATAAACAAGAAAAGGCCAACATTTGGCCAATCTCACAGATGAAAAACTTTAGCTCTGAGTACTTTTATAACTCTAATGCAAACGATTCCAGTACTTGTAGGGGGAACGCAGACGTTGCTATCATTTCTTACGGTGGGACTTTGAAAATATCAAAATAAACATTACAGTAACGAGCCGCTGTGCTGTCTGGATGAGGAGCTGCCGCTGCCGGCCCGTGCAGGCGGTGGTCCGCAGTTGAAACGGGCGACGACTTCGCGACGACGTGTCGCCGCCCCGTCTCAACATTTGAATTTGTCCTTTTTTGTGGCAATTTCACGTGCTTCGTTGAAGATCCTCCATGCTGTTTCCTTCACTGGTAATTTGTTTTGACTTATGGGTCTTGTGTAAAACTTGTAAATTTGCTGGTCATTGTGGATCATTAGCAAGGAGGAGTGTAATGAGAGACTGGCTGATGACCATGTGGTACAAAGGAAGCTGTGAATGATAACTTGAAGGCTGTTGGCACGATATTTTGGAAATTAGCCTAAAATGCTAGCAGGACGCCATATAGTGGGGAAAATGACGAAAAAACGAAGGGAAACGGTCAAAAACCTGCGAAAAAAATCGTTCGTTCTCAATGAGGGGAAGCAATTTGGGACGGAAGTTCTTCCGTAGACATGTTGCCAATAGCGCGGCGATACGCTCGGCGGGTACGGCTGCATGTATGTACTCATATATCCATGCAGCACCGCAGCCGCTTCCTTCAATCCCTTCGCTTCATATTTTACTTAGCAAATAAACCAGCACAGACATCAGTTTACGGTCGTCCATTTGTGGGCGGGCGGGCGTGGTGGGCTTCGGGTCGGTATGTTATAACTTGGTAGGGCCTTTATAAGGCCACCTCCCTTGAAGAAGGCGCTACGCAGCACCTGCTCAGGGTCGCGGAATTTTGTCCTGCCAGGCAGGTATCAGTCGTACTATTCTCAATGATTTACCGTGCCAACTGCCTTTGAGCGCTGATTTCAGTTCCTCCCCCGTCGTGCTGCTTGAAGTTACACCATCCTGCAATTAATTAGTAGAACTACGAATGTAAATGTTTATACAGAGGTTGTTTTTACAATATTGTTGATTTAGTTTAGAAGTGCTAGCTAACAAATTGCACTTTAGACTTGCTTCTTAGAACTTCTCCAAGATTTTGATCACCGTCCAGGTGCATTCGGGTGACTTTGCATTTCGGTGTATCGACAGAACTTTCTGAAAGAAAAATAATTCAGTGCTACAGAATCGAAAATCAGCCGGGTTGGATAAGGAAATTAGACAGGAATTAAGGTCTTGTTGCCTTATCGCAATTCGATAGGAGGGGGCATAGGATAGGTCTCCTCTAGTTAGTCTTTTGGTATGCGTCCCAAGTCAGCATGGTTCAACTTGCATGGGTTTGAAATTGAAGAGGCATTTTTGACGCGTTTCTCGTCGTGACCAAATCGAAGGCAGGAATCCTATGTGACAATTTATAATTTGTTCCGCCATCTATGTCATGCTTATCAACAGATCGCGGAGAAGTGGCTTACGCTTTCTGAAGTGCAGAGGCCAGCGTGCCACCTACACACGGAAAATTAAGAAATAACAATGCACAATGTTTTTTTTGGCAATGAACTTTCTGGGACATGGTCCATAGGTCTTTAGAGGGTAAGCGACGGTTAGGGCATATCCCTGATTCAGGAACTGTTCAGGGCCAGGGTTCAGTTTCAAGACCGGAACTTCAAAACTTTGATGACTCCGCAATGGGTTACGCTCACTTCTAACCATAAGTGCATGCTGCTTCTCTTACCGAAACCCATCAGAATGTCCTTTCGGTTACCCATGATTACCGTACGTCACCTGAATCATTTCCCAATTTACGTGAGCCGTCGAATTTGGGATTAATCAAATTCTCGCGTCTGCAGAAAGACTTGTGTGCATTTAGCGACTGAAGGGTCTGTCGTAATTGCGGATGTTTCATCGACGAAGGCAAACAACACGAACTCATCTATTCATGGGATACGGTAGAAGCTCTCGAACGAAATGTTTGAGGACATTTTCCCCAATCATTTCGTCTTTGGACGCAGCAAAAAACTCATATTTCTCCGTCGCGATCCATAGAACGGCTTAATGGCTTTGTAATGATGGTTGGAAGCATGAAGTCATCAGCTTTAGCAGTTTCTTAGGGATACGCCAATCCTCTCGCGATCACGGAGGAATTTGTGTGGATGTGTGGCTTATAGCATGGCTTGAGGTGGTTTGTCTCCGCTCAAGTCGAGGTTTTTGTGCTCCCATACAAGTCTGTTACAGAGTTGCCAGTCCTCAGAGAATCATTGTTCCAATGGGCTCGGCAGCCGCAAGTTCACCACTAGCGAGCGGTACAGCGTCGATATTGCGCGCTCAGGGATTGGCAGAAAAAGCACAGATGCGTTTTGAATTTAATGACCATTCCAAATTAATTCGTCAAGTCGTAACATTTGTTGTGACTCACTATAAGGACCTCTGGTGAACATCGAATGGTTTTGTACCATAGTTCGTCGTGGATGAATTTTCTCTCGAATCGCCCTGAAACTAATGCATAATTAAGAAAGGATTGAACGCTTCCATGTCTCTAGAACTGGGACCACCAATCAGTTGAAGACATATTCCATGACTAGCTGACAATGAGTCGAATGCTCTGTGTAAGGCAGTCAGACTCGCTGTCGCAAAGCTGTACGAAATATTAGGTCGTTGCAAAAGAAATGCAGGATTTCGTTTTTTTGTATTTAATACTTATTTTATTCCAATAAAATGTAAGTGTTATATATCATTCGAAAGCTTATCTAATGCTCTTTCTAAATGATACTTCAAGATTGGTTGTAATTCTTTTTAGAGGCCACAAAATCGTTGAAGGCGTTTTTGACATCGTCTTGGTTTTTGAAGCCTTTCTCTCTAAGATAGTTGTCCAGATGCTTGAAAAAGTGGTGATCGGTGGGCGACAGGTCTGGTGAGTATGGTGGATGAGGCAGAGTTTCATAGCCCAATCCGTTTATTTTCTGGAGGGTAAATTGTGCAAAGTGTGGTCGGGCATTGTCGTGGAGAAGAGTCCGGAATCGTGGAGTCCCTTCATATTGACCAACCTTGGGCACATGCGTTAAGGCTTCTGATGCATTTCGTCGATTTGTTGACAGTACTTCTCTGCCGTAATTGTTTCACCAGGATTCAGGAAGCTGTGATGGATGAGACCGGCGGCAGACCACCAAACATGAGGTTCATCTTCAAGGCTGGTGTTGCCAGAACGAAACTTCTGGAACCAACGTTGGACCGTAGATTCGTTGATACTTGAAATACAAGCAAGCAAAATCCTGCATTTCTTTTACAACGACCTAATACTTTGAACGCGCTCAAATAGCGAAACACGCACAACTGCCGTCTCGCTTGTATGTACACTCTCTCGCTCTTCGTCGCTTGGCCCCTCTCCCACGCGCTCAGTGTTTCTTGGCTCAGAATCGACTTGTTCTTTCGATGACGAGCCTGTTGACATGCACAATTTATATTGGAATCCCATTATTCATGTCTTGCTGTCATACAGTGTGCCTTTAAATAGTGCTCGTTTATACTCACCGATTCGCGATGAAATAGATGATTGGATACACTCCACTATTGAGAATCCACATCATATTCAGGGCCATATAGGACCAGATATTCGACGGGAGAATTGTCTGAAATATTGAGATGGAGCGGAAAATCGTTTCCAGGTCAACTCGTTGGGCATGATGTGAAGAAAAATTTTCAAATATCTTCGTATGAGCACTCGATGGCCTTTACTTTCTTGATTTCAATGCGGCTACATGGTGCGTGCAATTCGAGCACTCGTCATGCTATGCGTTTGCCATCATGTCACAACAATCATACTGGTTACCGTTTACTCGTTACACTCACCTGCGAATTATGCCATAGAAAATTGAGCACGGTGCAATAGACGGTAATT